CGGGAATGTATGGAGCATAGGCTCGTGCTCATCTTGCCTGTCTGTCTCTTGGTGCTCGATCCCTCATCCCAGCGCACCTGAGATGTTTGTGCACTGCAGACCTTTAGTTGTTTCCCTCTTCTTTCCACAGGACAAGAAGCTAAGGATCTTTGACCCAAGAGCCAAGCCTGCTGCCTCACAGGTATTTCCTTCTTTTCTCTGTTGAACAGGGTTGTGGTCAGTCAGTTTGCATGTCCTGGAGAGGAAGGAGACATAGGAGCCCTGGTGATTGGGCACACAGACTTGCATGCCCTGAACTTGCTGTTCAGGGCATGCCCTGAGGAGGAGGCCACTAGGGAAAATTCTTTCTGCCATGCTATTGGTATGGGGAAGCATTACTCACTGGATCTTGAGTACTAAAAAGGAAGCTGTGGCAGCCTTGAAGCTCTGGATTTTTCCATGGTGAAGTTTGGTGTTTCGTGCCTTCTCCTTACACGGGCTCCTCATTCCCATTTCCTTGGGCAGAGAGAATTTGTCTTTCTTGTGTTCCTGGAGAATCTCACCTAGGCCACGGGGAGAAGCTGTTTTGTTGTGAAGGCAGTACACATGACCTGCTTGTAGTCTGTGGCTGCCCCTTCCCCCTGCATTCTTCCTGCCGTGGGAGTTGTGCATTCCAACTGAGTGGTCTTGTCCCAGCTGGAGTCGGCGTCCTCTGTTTTTGGGGTGGGGGGTGGGAATTGGCTCCCACACAGATTCTTTGCTTCTAGGTTTACCAGGGTTTTGCTGGCAACTGAGTGATGTAGCTTCTTGGAAAAATAACAGAGATGTTGAGGTCTGGGTAGCTGAATTGGGCAGACTCAGCAAAGGCAGTGATTTAGGAGATGATTTGGGAGCTAAGCCTGTGATTGCCTTGGAGTTTAAGCAGCCCCTCATTAGAGGTTTCCTGTGGCTGCTGGGAACTTGCTTTAGGAAGCTGATGTTCCTTGTCTTCCCACAAAGGCTTGACTTAGAGGGAACATCTAGGCAAGGAAGGAACCAATGGAAACCAGCATGAGGGACTTCCCTCACTGCCATCTTCTGCTCCCTTCCCAACCAATCTCCCTTCCCCAGGCTGTGCCAGGACATCACCAGCCCTCCTACCACCTCTTTTTGGATCTCCTCCCCCTAGTGTTGGCAGCCATTCTTTAAGCCCATTGCCTACAGTCTTTAGTGCCTTCTGCTGCTCAGTCAGGCCTTGGCCCTGGGGCTTCTATTGGGCCGTTGTGTGCATCTGGCATGTATTCTGACCTTGCCAGTGCATCCCCATGATTCCTAGGGCTGGGTGGGGTGGGACTAGTCTGCTCCTGGCCAGGATATCTGCTTTGCAGGGGCTGTGGCCTGTAGGCAGCTCAACCCATTACTGCTGATGGATGATGGATTTCCCTTTGACACTGACACGGAGGGAGCTGAAAGTCTTGTCTGTGTTGTGAGGATGCGGTGTGCTGAGGTGGAGCCCTGCCCTGTGTGATAACTCTCTCTCTCTCGTATGCTGTCCTTGGTCATCCAGCCCTGTTATTGGGCAGGATTCCCACCTGGCTCTGACTGGTTCTCTCACTGTGGGCCCTGGAATGGAGGTTAATTGGTGCCGCTTGGCCCAGAGTGCAGCATAAGGCAGCCCCATGCTCAAGCTTATGAGAGCCAGGGAGCCTAGGTTAGCGTAAAGACCATGGCTTGGTCTGTATTTCATAGCTTCTAGGGTCGGAAGGGACCTGAACAGATCATCAAGTCCAACCCCCTGCCCTGGGCAGGAACGAGTGCTGGGATCATAATACCCCAGCCAGATATCTATCCAGCCTCCTCTTGAAGACCTCCAATGTAGGGGAGAGCACCACCTCCCTTGGGAGCCCATTCCAGAGCCTGGCTGACATAACCATAAAGTAATGCCTCCTGATATCAAGCCTGAACCTGATCTCAATCAATTTGTGGCCGTTATTCCTTGTTATCCCAGGTGGTGCCTAGGGAAACAGAGCCTCACCTATTTTCCGCTGGTACCCCCGGTGAGTTTATAGACGGTCACCAGATCCCCGCTCAGTCTTCTCTTGTGGAGGCTGAATAGATTCAGGCCCTTTAGTCTATCTTTGTAGGGCCTGGCCTGCTGCCCCCTAACCATGTGAGTGGCCCTCCTCTGGACCCTCTCAATGCTAGCCACATCCCTCTTGAAGTGCGGTGCCCAGAACTGGATGCAGTACTCCAACTGCAGCCTGCCCAGCACCACATAGAGGGGAAGGA